ATCCCTCCCTCCCCCCCCCCCCCCCCCCAGATATCGAAGTGTCTCTCACTTCTCCCCCACCAATTTCCTCTTTCTCTCTCTCTGCTTATCTTTAGCAGAAGGACAAGCTGGCATTGCCTGGGAATCTTCTAACTATAAATTAATTGTCTCTTTCCTTCCACTCTCTCTATTGCTTTGTATCATGTATTCCACTCGAACTTCGGTTTTCGATATTAGGAGGTAAATGTTGTGGGTAGTTGTTTATTTAAATGTTGGCAATACTTACTAAACCATTCTTGAGTTTGAGTTCGAATGGCTTGTTATTCATTGCGAGGTGTTGCCATTTCAGGTGTTTCTTAGGGACGATCTCTTGCCAGCCTGATGGCATCACCATGTTTACTGAAGCATATTGGACCCCTAACAGCTGCAGGACAAATGTAAATACGTGTTAAATGCATTGTTATCAGTCCCAGTAACAATGTAGGAAACTGAACAAAAAAAAAAACTAACATGATAATCGCATCTGTGCACAAATTACAGAATTAAAGGTGATTTTGTAAACACAAGTAATTTCAGAAATAATTTGTAACGTGAAATTATATTTTAAATATTTTATATTTTATCATCTTATTAAAAAAAAATTGTGATTTGACGGAAAATATTAAAATATTAACTTAATTCACAATATGACGCAAATATACTACCTTGTGAGTTAATTTGTAATTGTATTTCATACATTTACGGGTCGGATAGTATTTCTATATTCTTCAGATATATTAATATAAAATTCCAGTTATCTCACCTCCCCCCTGAGTTCTTTCCGGGTCCTTGGTTCAATAACCAAGTCTCCTCTAATCATAATTCCAGTATGTTGGTCGCCATTTTCGTTCAGAACTGTAAGTGCACGTCCTTGTACCTTGAATACATATCGGCTGTTGGGCTCCCAAGCTAAACACAGAGATAAGGCTTTAACACTCTTTGACAAATTGAGATCAAACACTCATATCTCAGATTATGCGTGATTTTATTATTTCCAACAAAGTCCTTTGGTTTATTTCATCTCACGTGTCGATGACTATTGTTACAATTTAATTCTTGAACACTGAGTAAGTGATGTGAGGGATAATATGTATTAATATTGGCTAATACAATGATTGCAAAAGTTCTATGTGGTGAATAGATTTTTTTTTAAACTATTTTAAGATTCGAATTTGAGTGTCACGTTTAAATGTTGATAAATTTAAATATTTTACAAGGAATTAATTTCATATAGAAATATCGTAATGTATCTTGATAAGTAACAAACGAAGATGAAGTATGTTTATTTAAAAATTAAAAACTTTGTTGAATGATTTCAGTTTAATCTACAATCATCCATTCCAGGTAACAAATATAATTATCATATAAAGTTATACTACAGAGTATATTATATTAAATTACTGCTTCAAATATATGAATCTTTGAGAAACGAATTGTAGACCCAGGAAAGGGGGGGGGGTGTAATATCTTACCTGGTATAGCAGTAACTCCCGCAACTGCAAATATACAAATAAAAATATATTATTTACGATAAAACTTTCCAACAGTTACAAAACAACGTCTGTGAATTTGTGTATTTGTGTTGGTATTAAGCTGCACTCCTAGAATGTTAGTACATGTTTTACGATGCTGGAAAAATTAATAATTTAAACTATATGTGCCATCGGGGCCAAGTTAAAAAATTAATACTTTTATTAAAAAAAATAACGTGCACTGCCTATAGTAATTTATATATTCTCAGGAAAAACAAATTTGTATTTATACGTGTTTAATTAACACGGTTTTCGGAAATACCAGATGTACAGGATTTAAACTGTATAAACTAAAATGATAACTAACATTTTATAAACTTATTTTCAGTATGAACTACTCGTAATATATATAATCGTATATGTCTAATAAAAATTTAAGGTTATTTTTATTAATTACTATAATTGAAAGCAATATTAGATTAACGTGAAATATATTTATGATAACAGAATCCATAAACATTTATTACTCACAATTTAAATCTAAATAAATTCGTAGTTCGGATTTCTGATATTTTATTGTCTTCATACAAAATTGAAAATGTCTTTAAATTGAGATATAATGAGATGTATGCTCTAATGCAGGACATCGAGTATTGTAATAGGATATCAGGTCGTAGGAGTTTATTGAATATGCGACATAGGATATCAGGTCGTAGGAGTTTATTTAGGAACTTTAATATGCGATGTTTAATTTAATATAACTTAAAGTTTGAGTTGTTAGTGTTTATATCTTAAGAAATATTCGAAATGCGGTCTGTTGCTGTCAACTGTAACCGTCTGGATTTTTCTTACCGAGGAGGCAGCACAGAAGAGCCTTCAACATGCTGGTGGTCTCGAGCTGTGGTTGAACACCGGGCTGGGACATGTTTTATATGGTACTTGTGTCTCCTGGCCACGAGCCCCGGAGGATTCTGGGTCACGGGGTCAGTTTTCCCCTGGACTCGAAGATTGTATTGGCTGAGGGTCACACGCATTTACTTTATCAGCGCAAACTGCTGTGTTCTGCAGTTCTGTATATGCGTAGCTTGCTTCTTTTAACTGTATTATCACATTTCTTATCATTGCGACACATGGACGTAGATTTTTTAAATAAAAATACGAAATTTCGTACCTGAAATTAATTAATTATTGTATTTTAAAAACGGTCTGATATCTCACGTGTTTTTATTGCAATTAAGGAGTAGCAAGGGTTACCCCTCGCTTCTTAGGGTCACCGAAGAAAATCCCGAAACGTCTTAAATTGTATGTTTATATTTTAGTCTATACTTATTGGAGTTTAGTTTATCCTGTGAGATGTAATGATCTTATTGCTGTGAGCATAAAGATGGCTGTCTTCTAGAAGTTTACCGAAGTTTAAGGGGTGTCTGCTGCCTCCATCATCAGTTTATTTATTTATAGTTTATTTAAAGACGCTCGGATAAGAGGATGACGGTGAATAATGAATTGGGAAGGAAGTGGTAGTGGCCTAATTTAAAGCATTATACAAGCATTTTGCTTGGAAGGACTGAGGAAAACCACAAATAACCCCAGTCAGGTTATCCTGTATCCGGATCGAGATTTTAACCTGGGACTTCCCGAATACGAAGCATCTATCATCAGGAAAACGTCGGTATA